CCCAGTTGCCAAATCCTGGTGATAAAGCATCATCATCCACCGCCTTTTAGTTCGGGCACCAATGTAGAGTCATTAGGATTTTTGGAGCAGGAAACGTGAAAAATGAGTAGCGCCCTCGCCGAGACTCGAACCTGGCCCTCTCGAATACGCTTCGAGCGTTACACCACAAAGGCATGCAGAAAGGAGGGAGAAGGGATTAGGGAACCCAATCTCCTAATCATGGTGAAGAATCATCATCCACCACCTTTTAGTTCGGGCGCCACTGTAGAGTCATTTGGATTTTTGAAACAGGAAACGTAAAAAATGAGCAGTGCCCTCGCCGGGACTCGAACCTGGGCCTCTCGCATACGAGCCGAGTGTGCTAACCGTTACACCACGAAGACATGCAGAAGGGAGGGAGAAAAAGTTTTCTGAGTAGGCAGTTTATATGATTTTATTTGCTTTCAAATTTGAGTTTAATCTAGTGTATTGTGTAATCCAGAGACTTCATATTGGATTTCACTTAACTCTTGATTCGTTGCTTTAGAAACTGTAATACGAGGAAGGAATTTTTGAGGAAATTCACATTTCTTTTATGTGAAGTTATTTAGATTTTTATGACTGCTCTGCAACATTCTCTGCTACTTTGATGAGTTTAATTTAGTAAACTGATATAAGCAAAACGACACTGACGGTTATCATATTTGCATTCACGTCTTTCAGTTTTCTCTTGAGCATCGCTTTTGTTATTTTTATATTATTTTTTATTTCGTCAGATTTAACTTTCTTCTGAAATTTTTATTTTGCGAAATATTATTTTATGCTGATTTTTTCGTTCTTATTGAATTAATTAACTAAGAATTAATTTAATATATTTCCTTTTGAATTATTTTCTTGGCTTTCTCCTAGCAATCCTTTTGTTCAAATTGCATAAATTTCATAATATTCAACTAGGAGTATAAAACGTTAACCAATTTTGCGGCTAGTAGTATTGCTACCGCTTTTCCTATTAAATCGAGTGCCAAAAAACAGTTTTACAGGAGGTGAAACAAGCAAAATATTTGATGGTGGTTATTCTCAGATAAAATAAAGTAAACATAAAAATGTGACATACATCTAAATTTCAGCGGCGATATTTTCAGGATGCTGATGTGCGTACCTAAAATGAAATGTTCGTGAACCTCCTAATGTTTTCTTGTGGACACAGTGTCGCAACTGATGTTGAAACTGATGTGGAAAGTGCTTTGTAATATACATGCTGAATAAAATTCTTGACAATTTACATTAATGTAGTATTATAACGTTCTTCGTAAATATAATATATTCTTGCTCAATCTGGAGTTGTTGGTGGAAGTGAAAATAAATGAACTGAGATATCGTCTTATAAATATTTAGCTGTTTTGCCAAACAGACCCTTTTCTTGTAAATTATATTTTTTCGCAATGCTTAAACACAGCTTGCGGCTTCGTTTTGCGATTAGTGAAACACTTTTTTGAACATTTCAGCCCACAAAAATGTTTAACTTTTACCACACGTTCTACAAGCCTTTCACAAGGATGGTTTTCCCCCTCTTGGAATCCCTTCTAAGACTGCTAATTAGTTCTTTGTGATCTCCTGTTATCGTATAACGGTATCTAACAGCTGTGGTGACAATTTATGTGTCTCTTTAACTAGGTCATGGAGGTTTAGCGATGTTTGCTACACATAAGAAATAACGCACAGCTTGATAAGTGCTTTTGTTGCACTTCAGATAACGAAATATGTGACAAAGGTGCTTATAAAACGCCAAGGACACGCTGTTCGTTATTCGTTTACGTCTTCTTGCCACAATTTCCGAGCCTGGAGCCATTTTTCAATGTCATTTTAAAATGAAGCATTCGCTGACCTTCACTGAGACACTTTTGTAAAATGTTTAATGCACCAAAATTGAAAAAAATATTCCCTCTCACGTGATCAGGGGCTTTTTGCAGCCGATATGAAATCGCGGAGTGCATCTAAAGTATCCTAAATTACGGCACCAATAATCTGCGACTAGATCTATTAAGGAATTACTAAACGGCTGATTTTTCTTAGTCTCCTTCGTGTATTAGTTATTTTTCTCTGTTTTATTCCTTTTTCATAAAATGTGATGGAATTAATTACGTTTCAGAGTAATGAAGATATTTACTTTAATTTTGTTGCTGTTGTTACTTATGCTGACTTGTCTGATAGTAATATCAGCCCAAGCCCACGAATTTCATCGTGATTACCCCTGTTGTTGGCAACAGCCTAGAGCACCTTACAGGTGCAGTGCGATTTAGCTTAGTTCCGTCCTCCCCAGTTTTGATGAAAAGCACCCTGGGGGTATGGATCAGAGGGTATCCCACCCTCTTCCCTTCTACCAAACCACACGAGAGACCTTCGGCTCGCCGCATGGCGCACGGACACTATACATTTACAAACATCCATGCCTGCTCCGGGATTCGAACCCGGGTCCTTCGGCAAAACAGAAATCGACTCGGCTTAATTTTGCATTATGATTCTATTCATCTTACTGTTTTAAAAGATAATTTTGAATTTGTTTCGAAGTTACAGGCACTTAGTGATAATTCCGAGACATATGTAATTTTACTCTTCTTCCTTCCACTCAAATATAGTTTTTCTCATACATGCAAAAGATAATATAGCTTCTTTTCAAAAATCTAGATTTTACTCTCCAAATTAAAAGTTTTAATAATATTTATAAGTGTTTATGAGGGCTTCGAATCTTAAATAGTTCGAGCGTTTTCCCCGCATTGTTTTGTTCAGAATATTTATTTATGGACTTAGAAGGAACTTTTCAGAAATAAGAAATAGAAATATCAGAAAACTCGCAAAATTTCAATTGTTTGGTTCATAAAAAGTGCTGATTTTCTTTAACAACGTATATTGTGTTTTCGAATTTAATATACATATCAAGTATATACAGTCGAATTTCAACAAAACTAGGTTTTTCAGAACGATTAAAAAACAAAAACAAAACAAACTTCGGTTAAGGTGGCAATTTAAAGTTTTTTTTCTGCTTAAGCTTACAGTTGAGTGTTTCTCTTCTAACTGGTTTAAATTTATATCCAAGAAATTCTTTTTTAATTCAATATTCAATCCAAAGAAAGAAAGAAATATTTTCTTCGCTTATATGTTATTGTTTTTAATACCGAAACAGTCATCGATTTCGTTTTGAAACACGTGTAGAATTAGAAATTAAAATTTTCTTTTCAAATGTACAATGTTTCAGAATTCCTAAGTTAAACAAGTATCTCATATGCAGTGCTTAGTAACTAATTGCTAAACTGTTATTTGTATAAATTTCTGAATTTAGTTCGGCTTCTTCCGTAAGTTCATTTGTTTCTGAAATTCCTCTTTAATTTACCTCGCTTAGTTGAAGTTTTTTTTGTTATATTTTAATTGGAAATATAACTTACGCATATATGTCTATAACAAATGGCGTGAAAACCGAAACAATATTTTGTTACCGAATCAAAGTGGCATAATAAGATTTCATTTTGTATGAGAGCTGAGATATTTAAAGGGGAAAAGTGCTAAAAGATTGACAATTAAGCTACAAGAATTGACACAAATAAGTTAAATGTTTAGTGAAATAGTTGTGAAGATTCAACAGAATCCTTGAAGTAATAGTCCAACACATTTTAAAATTTTTAAGTTAAATCCTGTTGTTAATTTTTCCTTTTTTCTTTTCGTTGCTTTGACGTATGGGAAATTTTTTATACTTCCATTATTATATTTTGAACAAGGGTTAATGTTTACATTCATTTTTGTTTTGCAGCGCTTCTGCAGTTTGTCGTTCTTAATATATCATTTATATGAACCATTTTTCATGTAGTTGAATTTGAGGCCAATTCCAGACCGACGGCCTGACTGCATGGGTACCGAAAAGAGGAATGTGTCAGAATCAGTAAAAGAAAAACCTTAAATTACTTTATAAGGTACTTCTCCCGCCTTCTTAGCATGCCTTCGTAGTTCGGTGGTCAGCACGCTGGATGAGTATTCCAGAGATCCGTGGTTCGATTCCCGTCGAAGGCGCTGTTCACTTTTCAAGTCTCTCTTGCTTCCAAAAAACCTAATGTAGTTACAACTTAAAGATTGTAGCTACCGCATTATTTCTAAAATCATAACTGTACGTACGATGAGACGTACGTATCAATTTTTGAAGTTGCAACATGTCAATAAATTAAAGCATGGGTCTTTGAAGATGATACCACGTCCACGATGGTGAAATTACAATGTGCCAAAAATGGAAAACGTAATGTATTCCGTTTTCTTCCGAAATACAGGACTGCTCAAAGCCATGAAGCTGTAAAGACAGAAGACAATCGTAGCTTACTGGTAAACCCCTAAGTGTCTTCCAAGAATTCTTCAAGAAGTGAATGTTAGAGGACTCATACTCCACCATGACAATGTATCTTCTCAATTAACAAGATTGACAGTTGAGTTTCTTGAACAAAAACACGTCAAAGTGATATAACATCCACCCTAATCAACCCATGTAGCTACGTGTGACTTTTGGCTGTTTCTTAATGTAAAAAATAACTAGACTTAGGCTGTAAACGTATGTTTTTCATCTATTCCAAGAAATGAAGGGCTTGAGGCATTTAATCTTTGGAAACTTCGCCCACAGAAGTGCATTGATGCTAAAGGAGACTACTACACTCCTAAAATTTCGTAAGCATAATTTTAAAAATTCTATGTGTAATCTCAAAAATTTCAGAAGGATTTAGTAAGTAAGGCGAGTTAAACAGCATTTTAATCTTCAGCGTAAACGAAATCCTTAGAACGAAATGACTGAGTGGTGGGTATTCTAAGCAAAACTATTTACATCAAACGTTGAAGAAACAATACAAGGTTTCATGCTACAGTAATCTGCAAAGAAAAACGAGCATTAAAAATGTTATATATACTATATACAATAGAACAAAATTTGAGCAGTAAAAAAAATTAATTAAATTACCACTTATGAATTTTATTGATAATAAGTGACACCAAACTAACTGGTTTCCAAATTTTATTCAAAATATTACAGTCAGAGTTAAATTATTATTCTTTGTTGTATTTCTGGTACATTAAACACATATATTTACATTACTGGTTGTATTCTTATACGTTTCAAGGAAACAAACAAGGGCTTTATATGTATATCTTCAACCATTATCTTAAAAAATAAAAATATATTTGGCACAGTTAGTTTCACTTGAAAGTTTCACCAGGTAACGCCTCTCAGATGTCCCTGTGTTAAGTGATGCGAAACTTCCAGAAAATGAATTTCTTCCGTCCATCTAGAAAATTCTCCATCCAATGGGCCTATGAAAAAATAGTGTAACTATATTTAAGGTGATTTAGTTTTTCAAATGAAAATATGAAAATTTTAAAAGATATAAACATAACCCTAGTTTGAATGTTTTTTCTTAGTTTTAGTAGACATCCTTAAATTAAATATCAGTGAAAGATGAAGTCTGCAAGGGTAAGTGATACCAAGAAAAATCATATATAAATGATAAAATGGAGTGACATTAAGGGATTAAAATTTGATAAACAAAAATACGTCAGAATCAAAAAGAACCTGAAAGATACGTGCAGATAACTGAATAGAATGCAAAAAAATAAATATAAAAAGAATGAATAAAAAATTAACAAAATCACAAAGAAGATTTTCAGCTCTGAAAAATCGAAATTTATAAATGATATAAAATTTAAAAAATTGAGGGGCCTAGTGTGCTATTATTATGCAACAATTAGTAGTAGTATTGTGTTGTTTACAAAGATTTAAAATGTTAACATTATATAAAACTTATTCAAAATTAACGAAATAATTATACATGGATGTAAGTTAATTAGCCTAAAAGCACTCTAATCTTATTCGTCGAAAGCGATAAATTTGTTAACGATTTTCAAGTTAATATGTATTATCTTAGATAAATTAATTATTCCAATATAAATTTCAACAAAAGCTCGTAGTAGCTATAGACATGTTTTTTAATAATATGTTGTCTAATTTCATCGCACATTAAATGTCTAAAACCAGTAAATGACTTTTTCTAATTTCTGTCAGGATAAATTTTTCTTTGTACAGAAATACATGTTTAGAAACATTAAAATCAAATGACTTAGATACTGGATGCTACTTTTTCTCTATTATATATATATATATATACTTATTTGCTTATATTTTAATACCTTGAGAACCTATTTCTTTCCAAAGCTTTCACTAATCCATATAAGGAAAATTTTTTCCTTTGTGTAATCCTTTCACCCTTTCTTTTCACATTGTTCTGTTGTTTAAACTTTATCATAAGATCAAAAAATTGTCAAGTAGCTTTCGAAATGAGGTCAAAATATACGTGTTACGAAAAAGGTCCTTATCTTACTGCATGTACCTATCAAAAATAATTACTGTATGTAAAAACTTTAGAAAGGTAGTTCAGAAATACGTAATGTATTACCCGCAGCATGACATGGAAAAATTATCACAGTAGAATAAATAGTAACTCCCTTAAGATTCTACTCTCTTGTTCTGTGTTCTGGTAAAGATGTAGATAAAAATTTCTCTGTACTCACTCAGTGTTTTATTTTAATTTTATAACTAGCGGGCAAGCCTACCAGACGTGTAGGCTGCGATCAAAACAAAATTCATAAGTTCTATGTGCACCTGAAAAGAAGATGAATAAAATCATTTCAGTATGAATGAAATCAGTTCATTCTTTCCAAGCAACAACCAATTCATAAATAATTTTTTGTTGCCAAACCAAGAAACAAAAACTTTTGACACTTTAGGTTAATACGTAAGACGTCGTGATTTAAATTTAATGCAATATAACAACTTGTTTTGAATATCAATAAAAGAATTAATGTGACAGTAACATAGAATGCCAGTTATCATAATCTGAAACAAAAAAGTTGCCAACAGCAGCTAATTGTTTAAAATGCTGATATTAACGAAACATTTTTTATATACAATGACATCAGCGTGCTTTTTTCAACACCAGAATAGGACCGTATGTAATAATAATATATTTAATATTTGGCAATACTAATTTTATTACATATTTTGTAAAACTTACAATTTTTTATTAACAAACTCTACAATTTGAAAGTGATCAGTGGCAACACATGGGAATAAAGCAAATTCAAATTTTTATTCCAACGTGTGAGACTGTTGCCACCCGGAAAAATGAGTGCGAAAATTAACGTTTTCAGAGTTTTTAATTAATAACTTTATTGATTCAAGTCCTGCGAAGATGAGAATGAACCAAATTGGCTTCCACCGAATTTCTGAGATCGGGGGGGGGGAGTTACTCTCTCTTAACTCAACGCCCCGCTGTTCCGGAGGATAGGATGTTACAAACAAGCAAACAAACAGACCAAACGCGCACATATTTTTACTAGTTATAAATTGCTTTACTGGTTTACTTTCGTCACTCTTTTCCTATGCAATTAATTACGTGTCCAAATGCATTAAGCTTCAATACATTTCATTATTTTTATATTGTTATTGCCCTTCTGACTTTAGATTAATGCATAAAACTTCTGTTTCCACAAGTTGTCTCTTGTATTAGATTATTTACTTTTTATTTATATTTATCTCAGAGAAGAAGTACCTATAACTCAAACTTATGAGGACAAATTTTCAATTAAACATTTGCTCAGTTTGTTCGTCTCTATTTAGCAATTATAGCATTTTTAAATTCCTTTACCATCACGTTTTCCAGTATTTTTCATTAGAAAATAAGAGCTATGCATCTGCTATTCCTTCCTTTCGCTCTATGATAACACAGACTTTCCTTTTCAGTTTTAAAGATTTAATTGTAGAGGAAGAAATCGTATGAATATATTACATTCTCTGCTTATTCTTTAGAATTATTACTTCTTTTCTTGATTTTTAATTTTTACATTACCATCGGAGATTTACGTTGAAATCTGGTTGAGTAATCCTATAAGTATTGTTTAATTTCTGCTTCCAATAAGAAATAAATTAACCATGAACTTCTTCTGTTTTTTATACTTTCTATACAAGATTTTCTATTGAGGAAAGGGTTTCTGAAATTTATATTTGTGATTTTATATTTGCATCTAGCCCAACTTAATGTATATATGTATTGATCCTCCTATGTTTTGTGATATTTAATCATTCCTCAATCCATAACTTCACCTAATTTTAATATTTATAGTTGATATTTTATTTAGTAGCCATTCCAAAAGCTCATGTTCAGTTTTATGCTCCACAGAATTTCATCTTATATTACATTCAACCTTAGCCTCAATAACATTTTGTTCAACATGTAATTTGTCGTTTAATCTCCGACAACGAACTAGAAAAATTTTTTGTTACGTAAAGTCTGGAAAGCTTTTGAATTTATTTTTGCCTGTAATCAACGAAACGACGAACTCTATTTCAGAGCAATTGTTTAAAGCCAATTCTATTTCGGAGAAACTGTTTAAGTAGTTCAATACAATGTTACGAATAAAATATATATTCTTTGAAAGGGTTCATGAAATGAGTGTTTGTATTTAATATTTTAATAACCGGCATTATAAAAAACAATAGATTTCCTCTAGTTTTCGAAAAATAGCAAATATAATAGTCAAAAAACGAGACAGATTGATCACCATAGCTGCTTTATTACATGATAAGCAAATCCCAAAATGCAGATATAAAACAAAAATGAGACCTATCCGTTCGTTTCCTTTTTGTGCAGTCAAATTTATTTAATGCCAATAGTACCTATTATCATCATGGTAATACGACGAAGCGTGACCCGCATGTCTGTACTGATCATATGCGTGGCTATCATGAGGATGGTACCCGTAGTATGCGTCAGCTCGGTGATAGACTGGCCTCACAATATTGGGTTGGCTGTAGATCCTGCTTGGTCTTTGTCTGTAGGATGTTGATGGCCTGTAAGCAGTTTGTGTCTGTTGGTTGGCTCGGCCAATTCCAGCAGAATGGAAGACGACATCTGCTGGGTTCTGGACGTCTGTGCCAGGCTCATTAGTGTCGATAGTAGCTCGGAAGCCATCCTGATCAGCAATATATTCAACAACTCTTCGGCGTCCATCATCAACCGCTAATGTGTAAGACCCCACAACTCTACCAGAAGCATCACCAGTCTCTTGTCTGGAACTAGATCCATCTTCCCCTTGGGCTACATAATTGAAAGAATATGGACTGTAATTGTATGTTTCTGGAGCTCTAGGTGCTGTGTAGACCGGACGTCGTTGCTGAGCTGCGGGTTGGTAAGCCTAAGTGAACAAAAAAGTAATTTTAGTTTCTCATTTAGATAATATACTAAGAGAGCCTACTGAAATGATTGAGCTCGAAGAACTCATATTCCCCTCCCTAACCTATCAAAAATACTTTCAAACTCTCAATAGATTTTGAAATGTCTTGTACAATAGCAAATATACAGTTCAGGAGCAACAGTTATAACCATACATTATGCCGTATTCGAACCAAAGCATAACTACATAGGAATCAACTAGTCGTACTATCTGCAAAGTTCCAGTTAGGATTTTTGTGTTCATGCTTGAGATTTAGGAATGGAACCCAAACGAATAAGAAATTTTTTATAATTCTTAAGACATTTTATTCTATAGAGGATATGGCTCATATATCCTGTAATGTCATAATATATTCTTCTATTTTATCCGGTATAAAATTTGTGTTTTTTTATACAAAATATTACACACACACATATTAGACTTCCTATAAAATTATATATACATATTATAAATATAAAAATGCTGCTAACTAACTCGAAGATAATGAAAACTGTGATTTAAAATATTAGACATTAGAGCTTTATATTGCAATGTCTTACTTATGTAATATTTTCTAAACAATGTTCTAATATGGACATTTGTAAAATTTTGATTTACACATAACATTGTGCTATTGACTAGAATTATTTTAATTAAAGAGTGAATTATTTCCAGTTATAGTTACCTTAATCAAAACTAGGTAATATTTGAAGATAATAATGTAATGAATTGTAGGTTAAAATTTTTTATATGGTTAAGGAAAAGAGGAACATTCCTACCTCTTTATTTTGTGTATTTTAATGCTTTTCATATTTACTCGGCTAAGTACTGGACGCAACGAATATATTGCTTTAATTAGTATATCGATGTAATTTACTGTATGTTTATATAAATTCTAAATCATCAGAATAATAGCTAGAATCTTCAATCAAAATATTAAAGAAAGATATATTAAAGGTAATATTAAAAGTAGGAAGAAATATCAAATAAATTATCAAAAATAATAAATAAAATTATCAATAGTAAAAATGAAAATGATTAAAAGAATAAAAATATATCGAGTATTTTCATTTAATATATTCTCTAGCATTTTTTTAAATGCTGAAACAATAAAAAGTTCAAAAAAGAAACATATTATTCAACTAACGTATTTCGTATATTATTGCTATTAAAAATATGACTTCGAATTCTAAAATAACTAGGAATTTTGATTAAAGGAAAGAAAGATGGGAGAAGAAAGAAAATCTTTTCTTCGTCACATGTATTTTCTTTCCTTCATTTTCAAAGAAAATACTCAGTACATATTTTATGCAACTAAATAAACTGAATATATCTATACTCACATTGTAGTTTGTTTGTCCAAGTGAATACAGCACAGGAACCGTTTTAGCATTCTCTTCCTCGGATTCTATTTGGGATGCCGTGGAAGTGGAGTATATAGTAGTTGGCTGCTGACCGTAGGCGATCGCAGCCAGGCATATCAATATTAAAGGTAGCTGCAAGATGTAAGAAGATAACTCTTAATTAACTTAATAGTTGTTTCCTTACATTTTTTTAAAATTCAGTAAACGATAACAATTGCGAGAGATACGCTCCAACGTCAAGCTTATTAATGTTTAAAATTAAATCTTTGCTTGATATTGGTTTCAATAAATAGAACAAGTTGATTTAATGAAAATATAATTACATAAATACTATCGATAAAAGTTTAAAAACATTTTTCCATGATAGTGGGATTACTAATACCATTTTATATCAATATATAAGGAGCCTCTTTTATTTTAGTCAACACTAGAAGAATTTTTGAATTCTTACGAGTTAACATCTGACAAATCTTGAACTGGAAACATAACAGAAAAAGATATTTTGAAAATAAGCTGAGGACAATATACCGATATTGAATAAATATTCAAGAGAATTTTTAAGGAATTGCATTTTTTTACGGTAAACTCCTTTTTTTATAGCATAAGATATATTATAGCATAAGATATTTTATAGCATAAGATTTCCATAGACTTTTCGTGTTTAGCTCTAGAGAATTTCCAAAAGCATGCCTTTTATTTACTTCAAAACAGATTTCATGTTAATTATACATAGTTATTCTTAAGCATGTGAAGTATTCTAAAATTTCATAAGAAATAAATTATGAGACATGTACCATTCTTTTTTAATATGAAATTGAGATAAACTCACAAGTTTAGTTACATATTTATTTACAGATGCTAAGTATGTCCACCGTTGCTAGCGCTGCAGACATCTGCGAGCGGCTGGGAAGACGGAATTGGCTGTCATAGAAAGCTGACAAATGCTACAGTTATGTGAAAATAGCGAAGATTACTTCTTCGAAAGAGAACTATTTTACACCTCTCTATCATAAGGGTAATTACCCAGATAGTTTGTGAGAACATCTTTGACAAACTTTGCCACAAAAGTAGACACAATTTTCGAGAGTATCTCCTATAATACAGAATCGATCAACCCTTTCTTCGAATTCAATGATCCTCGTGACTTTTCTTATTGAATGTTTTTAAGGGTACTATCGTTATGTCAATCTTCAGGATCGTTTTCATGCTATTCAAAGAAAGCACTGAAGAAGAAACATTGTCAAAATAAATACAAAAGCTACTGCTTACCCTGCCAGACTACATCATACTGAAATTCCAGAAGGTCCTCGCGCATAATGCTAACCAAACATTGGATGAAATTGCGAAGGCTATTAAGGATCTCAACACAAAGACCATATGCATACTTTTCCCCAAATCTCAGATGAAGAGAATCGCAAAGCCTTGGCTAATGGAGCAATAGCAGATGATCTGAATGATGCAAACATGGTAAGAGAGTGTAAACTGTTATATAAAATAAAACACTGAAACATATGAACTCGCGGAATTTTTCCACAGGTCATAGCCCATGTAGGATCTATCTACAACGTTTCGGCTTTCCGAACAATGATAGATGCACATGTGGAGGGGTTGGAGACCCTAACCACTATTTAGTTGAATTCTCTGACACGAAAACTTAAGGACTAAAATTATCTGCAGCAGCTTTTACTCAGTTAAACATGTTTAGAAGCTGCACCAGCACAGCTCTCTCAATTTTTTACAGTTTGCAAGACTAATATAAATATACTGAGTACTTTGCAATACTTCTCTGGTCCGGATAGATGATACACTGCCCTACAAGTTCGCACATGAATTTCCGGCAGTGCAGCTTGAAAAACCCCGTATTAATTCCTACCACTATTCAATTTGCAGTATCCAGGATTTTCAGACGGGGGTATCATAGCACATGGACATCTTTATAAGTTGTAAAGTCACTGGGTTATTTTGCAAGCATAAGACATGAAAACTGAGCAATGCCCTCGCCAGGAATCGAGCCTGGACCTCTCGAATAGGCGCCGAGTGTGCTACTGTTTCACCAGAAGGCATGCAGGAAGAAGGGAGAAAATACCTCATAAAGATTTGTTCGAAATAATGTCTTCACTGTAAATTCTGCATAACAGCATTAATATAAAATGAATGGTTTCTTAATGTAAGTGCATTCGTATTGCAATGATTAATAATTAATTAGTGTGCAATGGTTAAACATAATTCAGTGATAATCTTTGGTAATTATTTTGAAACATACTATTTCACTAATATTATAAATATTATACACTAAAGATCGTATTGTTATATATTTACAAATACGATATTATGCTTATCGTGTCGTAATATATATAAACATGTGCTTGTACTTGCGCACCAGTGTGTTGGTATTATAAAAGTGCATAAATTTTTATAACAAAATTTAGTGATTTTTTATCATACTGTGCAGTATTATTGCATTTGTATATGTCTAATAGCTATTTGCATATCAGTTTTTATATGATCTATATCACTGAGTTTATAACAATTTTACAGCAATTTATGTATTTATCTGATTCGAAAAGTTATGAAATTTTTGAGAATCTCGAAGAGGAGAGCTTCCCTTTAACCAAAAGAATAGCACACTTTCCTTCTTGAGACATGCAGATTAACGACTAAACCATAATAACAAAATGCTTTAGATGTAGGGCACTTCACCCCCTTTCGTTGTTATTTCTTACAAAATCAGTACTTTAGAGACATGTCCTTGGACGTGAGATAGAAATTATAATTCCTGTCAGAGCTTAAACAAGCTGATAAGCACCATTACCAAGTACGCTAGCTGCACTGTCGATGGCGTACAGTAAAGTAAAATCTCAATATATTAAATAGTACAACTATATATATATATACATATACGTAATGCTGTTTTATGCTGCATGATATCTGTTATATAAATCTTTCTTAGAAGTTGCGTTTCATTTTGATAAATATATACGTATGCTGCGGTAGAATAATTCAATGATTAGACATCAAAATTAACGTATTTAAATCATTAAATAATTCTTAATACAAAATTCTGAATATAATTTATTTAAAACTCGATTATTTTTCAAGTTACAATTCACAAATGAAGTTCAAGGGTCATTACGGCTAGTTAGGAAATAGAGATTGCTTAAAATGTTAAGGAAATTGTAGACATTAGCTTCAGTTTTATTTGCTTCCTAAAGTTTAAGCAAAGGAGTGTTAACTTTTTATGTTAAGCGAATCGGTATATTTAGAAGCGTGGAAAGCCAAAATGAGCCTGATGTCGCTCATTTTGAGACTTCGAGGACTTTGTTATTCAAAACCAGCATATGTTTACCTTTATATTTTTTATAGCTTTATATTTTTAGCTTTTATGGAAAAAGCTTCTTATCAACTACTTCTAAGTTACAAACCTCAAAGTGAAGAATTTACAGAAATTAAATTTATGGGACTATTTTCTTAGAAACAGCATAACTCTGAGATAGTATCAGAAATCTTAACAATTAATAACAAATGTATCTTAGATTACCTTCCAAATTTATTGATCCGTTTGTAGAACATAGACCTATTTTGTAACGCCTTAGAATGTATAAAAAAATCACTCAAAACTCTTCGTTATTAGTTACGAAATAAACTAAATTCGAAGCTTTGTAACATATATATGTAACACAGCCTTTTATGCATTTTAAAATCAGTTCATTAGTAGGGAAAACCTCTCTCAGATTATTTTCTTGTGGTTCTTTGATTGAATGTTTTTTTTATAATGATAAAGCGCATAGGAAATGTCTGCTTGGAAGAGTACTTTTTAAAAGAATTTAATGGCACTTATTTACTTTTACTATGAGGGAAACCACAAAACCTTCAACAGCGTACCGATTCAGCAACTGGGAATAGAGCCCACAAAGAAATGTTATTTCTCAGTTTTGTCTGCCAAATCGGCCGTCGAGCTATTCCTCGAAGTTTTTGTAATACACAAGATTAAGCATTACTCTCTTTAGGTAAGGATGGAATCAGAATAACAACTTAACAATCAGAATAACTGTGTCACTCTTCCAACTTGATAGCTTCAGAATAGTAACTTTCACTCATTTTATTGCGTAATTTTGTTAAAAAACTAATCTTTCACTTTCACCATTCAAACATTGTCATTCAAACTGTGTCATTAATCTTTACTGTGGAATTATATGACGAATTTACTGTGCAGTTATCTCAAGAATTACACTATGAGATCATGAAATGTGCAAGATGAATAAAATGCGCAGATATACATAGATAAATGTAAATAGTTTAAGACTAAATAAAAGCAAAAGGGACACTTTTTCCTTACAACTCAAACAACCACTTGTGTCGAAATGACTTAAATTAACAGTAAATCAAGTGTAAAATTTAAATTCAAATCAACAAATAGCCGAAGGCTACACAATCAATTTAACGCGAAGTTGGCTCAACTTAACCGATGTGGAATTCAACTATCAACAATTATAATGCAAGTCCGAAGACAAGAACTCTTATCTAAAACAGAAACCTAGTAAATTAGCCACGAGCGGTAGAACACGATCTATCTTATAATCATTAAATCTGCATTCTGGCAGAAATTGTAGAAGTGACAGTTATAATCCAAAAAATAAAATGCGTGGTTAATTTCTCTTCACGTTACCGTAGAGAAACATTCAAACATTCTCGATAAAACCTCCAGTAATCTACAGAATACGAATGGGCAACAAAAGTAAGTAGGAAAGGCATTTAAACACTCATTTCATGTTGGGCAACAGATGATTTCTGTGCTTCCTTTTTTCTAACATATGCCTCATGTTTCTTAACGCGAAATTTTAAGGCCCTCTTAGTTTGGCCAATGTAAATTAAGCCACGCTGGCAAGGAATCCTGTAAATACCCCAGGAATTCATATCCGGAATGGGGGTCTTGAGTATGGGAATGATGGGAGAATAAACGACGCGAAAGTTAAATTTCTGAAAAATATTAACAAATGTTTATTTTGTAAAGTTTATCATGTAGAGTCATTAAATTATTTTGAAGCAAGAGTACAGGAAAAATCAGCAATGCCCTCGCCAGAACTCGAACCCGGACCTCTTGAATACTCGCCGAGTGTGATAACGTTACACCACAAAAGTAAGGAGGGAGAAATACCTTATTACATAGAAACTGTCTACAGTAATTCTGATCCTTTTCTGTATTTTATCAAAAAACATCTTTATTAAAAATTATAGCTATAATTCTGCTTATTAATAAAAATATGTTTATTATTTTATGTGTATTTTCATTTGAAAATTATTCCACAAAGCAAATAATGGTCATGTTTCAGTGTTGGTTATACTCAAATAGTTCACGATTACGTTTCATAGGCAGACTATATAGATAATGTAATTTCAGCATGATTTTGCCCTGGCAGTATTTCGTCTTAAATATTTTTTTCTGCCTAAGGATAAGCAACTGTAATATTCTATCATCAGACACTAATAAACAATCTATCAGTTGTAACATCATATAAATATAGCTTAAGAAATGTACCATAGACGCACATTCATTAATCAGATGAGATCATTTTGAATGCGAATTTTATATTTAATATTTTTCATCTATTTTAAAACATAACTTATATTCAACATTCAAATCAGCATTCGCTATTTTAAAAGTGATTTATATTTATCTACATATAGTATATAAATAAGTAAGAACATCAATGTACTGCCAAAATTAATACAACTAGACTTTAATATTACTAATTAATAGTTACTACCAAATAACCCTTAGCCTAACCTTAAGTTCCGTAAGAATGTTCTGCAATTATTTGAATAACCGGGCATTTGAATATTGATAACAATTTATTTATTACTTAAAAATGAGATAGAAGAAACCAAAAAAATACTCACCATTTTGTTGAGGAAGTGTGTGAATAGGTCACTTCTGGTTATATTGGTATGACTGTGTTGGTGTTCCAACGGCGGATCTAAGAGTTTTTATACCACGAAGGGTGGTGCCTATTTTCTCTTCTTTGGGTGGTTCTACGATAACACCAAAGACACAAAAATGTCCAACTGACCCTGAGAGGGATTGTCTCATAGGAGGCGGAAGCTCCTATTCATTGGCCTTGGGTATATAAAGATTTTCCATGTCATTCGTATTTGTGGGAGGCTGGAATTTTTCACTTTCACTCACGGCTGTTACTGGGAAGAACTTAAAATTAGGGAGTGACTCAAGTGATTCATGGTTAAAATGAATAGATTCGATTTAAAAATTTTGAAAGAGAAAAAATATAGTGTGCCTTGTAAACCTTAGCTCGGTGTATCAGTCTTTGGAATATCATAATCTTCTTGTAGACTATTCTTGAAAAACTGTTTAAGAATATTTCAATATTTCTCAGGTATGTAAAAGGAATGGTACAGCAGTCGCTTTTAAGCACTGAAGTTTAAGATTTACTGAGTTGAGAATCATTTTTGCCGCTAGTGCTTCTTAGAAGCTACTATGTCTCATACTTTCCTTACATACAGAATGCCATAAAATTGTTTTGTATTTGCAGTTTTAGCAGCTCTCACTAAACAGGTAAAATTTGCAGATAAGTCTATAAAGGTAAACGTAATTTTCTTCAAAGTGTTTCTTTTTTTTTTTTTTTTTTTTAATTTTACTTTGTAGAGCTATTAGGTTATTTGGAAGCAGGAAATATGAAAAATGAGCAACGCCTTTGCCGAGAATCGAGCTGCGGACCTCTGGAACACGCGCCGAGTGCGCTGTGTTTACACCAAAAAGGCATGACAGGGAGAAAATACCTTATAATCGAAGATCATAAAGTCTATTTTTAGACCAGGTGGGGGGGGATCGGGTTGTATTCCTCTCATTTGTAACCTTATAATCTAATATTAGACTAGTATTTAAAAACATTTACACTGTAATGCGGTAATCAACTGCAGCCCGATAATGTTTAAAGATAGAGTTTAACTGTTAGCACCGTAATGCTACACCTGTACGATCAATGGTAAAATTCTGGTGTCTTTCAAGACTTCTATGCAATGTTTTTCACACGAATTGTACGGAAATGGGTTCTATGAGCCTTCGCAAGATGATGAATCGAATAATTTTTGTGACGGGTTCCCTTTAGAGAAGACAATTATTCTAGAAGAGTTCCTCACAGGTAAAAATTTGCAGGAATACTATTTTAGCGCGTTAAAGGAAATTACGATAGCTATTATTAATAACTGATTACTAATTACGAATTAAATATTAGTAACTGATTACTGTGAAATATTTTTGTTTAAAAGTAAACTAAAAGTTTCATTAATTAATTTTGAAATATTTGTATCTAAAAGAAAAGTGATCCTTAAATGAAGACATAATTTTTTAAATACTTAAATTGTCAATTCGATAAAAATACTAAAATACAAAAATCTGAAAGCTTTCAGATTTTCTATTACGGTCAAAGGGGCGTTCTTTTAAGTTTTGTGGGTTACCTTTATTTATTAAATATCATGTTTTTCGCACTTAAACCGTAAAATTCAATTCAGCAGCACTATCGCAAAATATTTAAAAGAGCATGTCTTTAGAAGTTCCGATACACAGTCTCGCGTGTTCGAAGTAATTTTTTTGGGGGGGGGGAAGTGTTGCCATTGCTTGCTTTGAAATCGTTGAGTTTCTTAATCCAAAACTCATAAATGCTTTACATAACTGAAATAGATAATAAAACAAATTCCAAATTTGAGCTTCCAGATGCCCATATTCGAGTGGAGGACTACGTTAGTGAAACCTTGGTGTCTCTAGGTACCGTTGCTTTTTTACAAGGAGAGAAACATACATACATTTATGCAGATTCTTCATTATTTAATGTCCTTAAATGTAAATCAGGCCTTTAGTTTTTGATGACAACGATTTGAAAAGGGAAGCTCTGTCTATAGTGTACCAATGCAAAATGCTAAAACGAAATTAATAACTCTTTTGGGCAAATTGCTTTCGGCTGATGAAAACAAATTTATGTGCTCTACATTTATTAAAGAAAACTGTCTAGAGCTGATAAATAAAAAAGTATATCAATCTGGCGTTAACGATGAGAAATCTGGGAAGGTTAAAAGGTCATATGTTAATCGCGACAGAAATGGATTTGTTTCCGTACATAAATTATTGAACTGGAAGAAAAGCTGAACTCATGATGAAAGAAATCGGAATAAAAAGAAGGAAAGTTGATACTTGTGATGAATGAGTTTTTAACAGCCTAATTGTGATACATATTAATGTGGGCTGCAAAATCAAAGAATAATAAGATGCCACTTCTTTAAACCGATTACTGGCATATTTGGAAATCTTCCGTAAATTGCAGGTGTTTAACAACTTAATATATCTCGCAAAACTGCCTTATGTATTTCAATCTTTATTTGAAATTTGCCTTAGAGGTATAAGATCCTGATTTCGTATTTGTTATAATGGAGAACGATATCACTCTTTTTTTGTACGTCTCTGGTCGAAAATCATTATTTCTTAAAAGCTAACTTGGATACGGATTATTATACTTCGTATTTACAACATACAGGGGTTGGACAAAAATATGGAAACACCTTTAAAAAAACATGTTTCTTTGCTTAATATGGTGTAGGAAACCCGTTGGCATCCAAAACAGCTTGCAGTCTTCTCGGAATGGATAAATACAGTTCCTGTATGTTTGCCAAGGGAATATTATACCATTCTTCCTGCAAAACGGTGGCAAGTTCAGATAACGATGTTGGCGGCGGATAACGAGAACGCACTTTCCGTTCCAATGTATACCACAAAGGTTCGATAATATTCAGGTCTGGTGACTGTGGTGGCCAGGGAAGATGGAACAACTCATCTTCGTGCTCAGAAAACCAGTCCTGGAGAATGTGAGCTGTGTAAACAGGGGCTTTGTCGTCTTGGAAGACACCATCACCATCGGGGAACAAAGTTTGTACCATGGGATGAACTTGATCGGCCAAAATGTTCACATAAGTCTTGGCAGTCATGTGCCCTGACACAGTTATCATGGGGCTAGCAGAGAACCACGATATGGCTGCCCAAACCATAACAGAACCCCCACCATGTTTCACTCTTGGCAACAAGCAGTCTGTATTATAGGCTTGAGATGGCGTTCTCCAGACGTAAACTCGGCCAGAAGTGGGACAATGCGTGAAAGAAGACTCGTCAGACCATATTACTCGCTTCCACTGCTCTATAGTCCAGGCTTTATGACAGGCACCACCTTTTCCTGTTACGGGCATTAGCATCACTGATGAGTGGCTTCTCAATTGCAGCACGGCCAGCAATTCTCTGTTTATGAAGCTCCCTTCTAATTGTTTTGGTACTCACAGGGTTCGGTAACACAACATTCATTTCAGCAGTAACTTTTGCAGCTGTGGTCTTCTTATTTTTCGCCACAATTGCCCTTAATGATCGTCAGTCACGATCACTCAGGACACACTTTCGTCCGCGCTGTGATTTAGCAGATGATGTTTTTCCGCTTTTCAAATATGCGGAATAAATCTTCGATACACTAAACACCTCGGCTACCTTGCTTACGGAAGCACCTACCATACGTGCTCCAACAATTTGCCCACGTTCGAAGTCTGTTAACTCTGACATAATGCAATGACAACCTCACATAACAGTACTCCGACAACAACTGAACTGTTTAGCACATTTACGAAGTTGTATAGGTGCGTCAGTAGTCAAAAACGCCCGCGCCACCTACATATTTCATTAAAATCAATCTTTCTTTTCAAACATGCATTTCACAAGGTGTTTCCATATTTTTGTCCATTCACTGTAATACTTAATGCAATTTGTTATTTAAGGCAACTCACTTTTAAACAGTGCTCTCATTTGCGTAATTAAAATTTTAGCATTAATATCAATTAAACTGTAGAGTCATTGCATTATTTTTGAAACAGGAAGAAGTGAAAAATGAGTTCGCTGGGAATCGAACCACGGACCTCTGAAATACGCTCCCAGCGTGCACACCACCACACCACGAAGGTACGCTAAGAAGGCGCGAGAAATACCTTGTAAAGTAAACAGTTCTCTTTCCACTTTGCCTTTTCAATTTATTCGTAATAAACGTTGCTTCCACGTTGTTAATTCCAAGTTGCTTTCATAATACCTTTTAATAACTCAAAAGGAAACAACGGATGTATCTGAATATTTATGATACATTTTATGTTACTGGATTTTTTTCATGAGGCAATACTGAATGAAGCATTGTATTAAAGAACAAGTCCGTGAGAGGCCCTAGGATTTATAATGTGCCAGATTGAAATGTGTACCAAACATTTAATTTAATTAAAGTATTCTGAGGCTATTTGCGTCGTTATTTTCTTTTGCTATCTGGAATTAATTCAGCGAACAAGTAATATTTGAGCTACTTTGTTTAACAAGCTGTGGGATTATATGGCTTTACTTAGCAGTACTTAGATTGGTATACTTCTTATTATAAATCATGAAAGAGTGATATGTTTGCAATGTTTTGTTGTTATAAATGTCTTGTTGTCATTATCAGCAGTCCACAATCATCGCATTTCGAATTAAAACCACTACTAGGGCTACATTTGAAACTATTATCTTACCTTTAATCTTCTACCGTGATTACAAATGCTGGTGAGGTTCACATGAGACACTAGACTGGAGACTATATCGCATTCAAAAATTTCAAATAAGTCCAGTTAAATGAAAAAAAAAAAAAAAAAGGAATGCGATCAAAAAGAGGTATTAAAGAATAAAACAATTCAATTAAAAATTTGGTGTCATAAATCAATATCAATATAAATGTGTCGTATACTAAATGAAGAGCATAAGATCGGAATGAAATCGAAATTATAAAAGTATTTTTTAAGTTGAATAGGAAGCAGAAAGAGAAAAATTAATGAAATAAATACAATAGGTTATTCTTGTAAATGAAATGAAGAAGAAAGGTAAGTATAGTATAAATTCCAATGTGTATTACAAAACTGAACTTATAAGCATTTCTTGGTGCATAGATTAAATAATGGCATTATTTGCATAAATACGAGCGAGAAAATCGTGACTTTAAT